TTACCCAAAAAATGGCAAGCAAAAAGCGATGGCCGCTTATCAAGCACACTTGGAGACAGATGCTGTCAGCCGATAGCACGCTACAAGCTGCCCGAAAGAAGGTATAAAAGGATGAACGAACAGGTCTTGCTGAGTCTTGCTCAAGGATTTATGAAATGGAATAGATGGCTGCGTGAGCTGCCATGTGACTCGACCGCCTGTGTGTGATATGAAATGGAACAGACATGCAATAACAAAAGCCATCAATTTTCAGTCGAATACAGTCTGTTTCAATCAAAATTCCAATCAGTTTCATTCATCTTTCATTCCTATCAAGTTGCTCGCTGGCGGACAACCTAAAAGAAAATCCGCGAAGCGTCGAAACAATTGCGAATTCCTTCGACTTCCAATTTAGGCTTGCCACTTTCCATTTTCTGCTTTGATGTTGAATGGTGAAGCTCGTACCTGCCATGTCGTAATGCAAAATTCAAGACACCCAAGCAATCCCAAGTAACTGACCAAACATGTTTCCAACCACAAGAAAGTGAGCGTAGGAAAATATTATAGCAAAGAATTGAAAGATGTTGTGAAATGTTTTGAAACTCTTTCTGAAGCTTACAACCAGCAGTTTGAAGTTGCAGCTCTCCCAAACTTTCGGGACACTCGATCCGCTCGCTTTGGAAGCAGAACAAGAACCTTTGCCCATCAAAAATTATGTCTGGGCGCCACATACTTGCGCAAGGCAATGTAGGTGCATAAATTCAAGCTGAACTGGTGAATGACATGGTGAATGACACGGTGAATGACAGGTTGTTTCTTCACCGCCACATTTGGCTTTCAGCCATGTAGCCACGTGCTGTCTATATCGTGTTACTTTATGTTGCTTCATTGATTTTCCATTGGTTTGCAGTCCAAGAATGTGAGGAACTTCGTGTAACGTGTGAGAAGGGAAACTTCAGGAACCTCTGGGTCCGATGTGATTCTCATCATTTTCCACCTCAGTTCTATGAAGTCTACTTTTTCGAAACTGAAGGTATAGAAAGAGTATGAAAGAGTATGAAAGAGTAACTAAAGGGCATGAAAGACATAGAAAGATTCCCAAAGATTCAGTTTCACGCCGAGTTTCTGAGCTGAATGGTGACCAAAGAAGTGAAGGAAATAGGAAAAAATAGGAACATGTGAATCGTGTCATGTCGTTGAAACGCAAATAGCTTTGCTTCTATGATTTGGGACCTTCTGGAAAACTCACGTGACACCAAGATTCAAAATCTTTGCAACGCGACAAATTAGATATCGATCTTCGAAAAGTCGAAGTGTAACAAAGCGTTGAAATATTTGAAATGGATTGTAACATATTGTAACAAAATATCAAAGTAACAAATTGATGACAAGTTGGTCTCATAAACGTGACCACCTCAGACCTGGGGTCCTGGCAAGTCCGCGTGCATGTCTTCACAGCCTTGGACATGGAATGATGCTGTCGGTGCTGTGCGAACTTCGTCTTGTGCTAGGTCCGCTAGGTGATACTTGTCACATCTTGTCACATCTTGTCACTTCTGTATCGTGCTCCGACATGGACACTTTTGGTCAAAGTCTCGAGTGAATCGTCTGACCCCATGGCCACTTCACTGGCCGTCGTCTCCAACTCCAAGACTGGCAAAACATGTCAACACTGATCGACAAATCTGACATCACGTTCCAGGACATACAAATATCTGCGATGCACAGACTTTTCTGTTGCAGCAAAACATACAGTAAAGCCAACTTGTTCCATTTAAAAGCATTTCTAAAGAATGTTCCATCTGTGGCTGTTTCCTCCAAATTGTTGGTCTCGTGCAGTGTTCGAACTTCAGCAAATCCCCAACAGAATTCATTCTTTTCGCTTCAAAGTGGCGTAGTTTCGTCGCAGCAATGACCAGGTCTTGTGGGCACAGTCACACGGCACAGTCACACATGGGCACATAGACGCTTACCAGCATCCCGATTGGTTCAAGGAAAAAACTACAGGAACCACCTAGTTTGCTGGGAAAGCCCAAGGTTTCCTGCAAATATTCCCATCAACCCAACCCTTTTTTTCCCGATGGTGCCACTTGGGATACCCCACGTAATTCCGGGAGGCACGCGCGGCTCTCCAGCCACCAGCTCCGGTACTTGGTCCTTGGAAGAAGTTGTGGCGGGGGGTTGGTTGATACCCATAATTCACTGGGAATTGATGAGATTTAATTAATGGTGAGGTTTTATGGGATGGAATTGTGATTCAATCGTGATCGAATTGGAACTAGAAAAACAGTAATTGAGAGAGCGCTGGTTCCGAACGGTTAAAAGATCACTAATTCTATGAAAACGAGAAATGGTCACCTCGCCCTTGTCCCTGTTTGAGTAAGCCATGGCGTCAGAAAATGCCACTTCCTCGCTCAAAAGCTTCAGAAATTGAAGCTGGGACCTCATCGTTCCAATAAAGAAGCGTTCGTAGCTATGAAGAAGCGCATTAGGGTCCCTAAGTCTCAATGCAACCTGGTGACATAGTGTTGAGATGTGTTGAGAACCTGTTCGCTTTTTTGTTGAGCCCTTCTTCTTGTTGGGATCAAATGAGTCTATCCCTCGTCCGGGGTCCCTTTTTCAACAAAAGGTTATCGCTAGGTTATTGCTAAGGTTGTCGCTAAATTAGAACACTTTGATGATCAAGAAAGGAAAGGAAAGAGGAACGTAGAACAAAAAGGACATTGAAAAAACAAAAGGAAAAAGGAAGGAAGGAAGGAAGGAAGGAAGGAAGGAAGGGAAGGGAAGGGAAGGGAAGGGAAGGGAAGGGGAAGGGAAGGGAAGGAAGTTTGATTTAGTTCAGAATTCAATTGCGTTTAGTTTTAAAAGGAAAATAAAAGGAAAAGGAAGGAAAGAAAAAGAAAAGGAAACAAAGATAGACGCAAATCGAATGAAATTGAAAGCACATAGAGGGAATTGAGAATTTGATTTCAAGCTATTTTTTGCTTTAATTCAGAATTTTGTTGCGTTCAATTTAATTTAATTCTACTGCTTTGGGGCCAAAAACAAACTGCCTACAGAAAGCAATGGCTCAATCACCATGGACAACAAATGATATGGCAACTACAAGAAACGTGGGCGCTGCAGGTTGAATATGTTTCATCAATTTTGCCCATCGCATGAAGGCACACAACAATATTTGCTTGGTTTCCACCAAGTTAAATGCACTCTCATATGGTCACAGGTTATCGCCTTTTTGGAGGGCTTTTCGCTTTACATGGTTTGGCGCACTTTCTCAACCCGACTGGACCCTCCCTTACTAAAGTAGTCTACGCTTATTTTGACCGGATCTCATGTACAATCAAAGGCCCTTTATACAGATCTCGCGCAGAGACCCTGTATAGAGATCTCTTGCATGCAGAGATCTTGCCAAGAGGTCTCTTACAGAGATCTTGCTTAGGGGAAAAATTGAAAATCTGAAGCCGACACGGACCGATACACCCTGTAAATTCAGGTGAGATCATGTAAATTCGGGAAGTGTATTTATGACTTTGATATGCCTTCCGTTTGTCGGTAACAAAGTATGATCTGTTTACTTTTGCTTAGGCCAAGTCTGTTTGTATCAAAAGGTGCCTAAGGCTGTCTACGGCTCGCCTGGTCCACGGGGCCATCAGCTACTCCATCCTCCCTGAGAATCACAGGAGATTGAATCGACGGGGGGTTGGATGGCTCGGTCCTTGATTCCTACTAAGGCGACAAAACACATTGACAATTCAGAAGGTGCTTTCTCACGCTGGAAGGTATGAGACTCTTTTTACATACCAGAACATCCATTGCAATGCTCACCAGATCTAAAGGGGGTATGTGGATGATGACATGATTCTGAAAATGAAAAGTTCCTCGGTGATTCTAACAGAAGGACAAAAATTCTCGGCAAGTCATGGGTGACAGTTGACATTAGTTGACTCTGAGGTCATCGACTCACTGCTGCTTCCCCCACCTGCAAGATGATCAATTTCAACCAGGTTTTCAAAGCGCCAGGGTTCAAGAAAGACAACAAGATATAATCAAACAACCATATTCAAATGGATTTCAACAAAAAATCAACAGATATAATCCTGCTTTCACGACAGCAAAAGGAACATGAGGGTCATGGCACCAGCGCATGCCTTGGCATGTTAAACCTGGGTAAAGTTCAAACATTTCAGACGTGATGGAGAGAATTTCACTGGGATTCTGACGAATGTGATGACTTCATAATTTTGTCTATCAACCTGGGAGCCAAAGACAGCTCAAGCGAAAATTCTGACCACAAGGGCTGAGGACAAACCTTTTTTTTTGTGAATATCCTCATGCATCCCCTCATGTTGAGCCGGTCGCCGGTCGCTCCTCCCAGAAACTCAACATCCAATGTCCGGCGGCCATGCTGAAGAGCAGCTGAAGGTGATAATTAAATTGGTGATGAGCTGAGAAACCACCAACCAGTCATGCTTACGGGTATTCCTGTGCTAGAAACAACATGCAGATTCTGCATACGATCTTCCACTCATTATTGGATCTAAGCCATTTGGAATGTTGCATTGCTAGCATTTCATCACATTTTCCACAACAATGGGTCAACATTGGTTTTGTACCTCCACATGCTAGGGAACCCATAAATTGACCTGTACCTGCGTCTTGCACACGTTCAAATTCAGCACCAATTGTCGTACAGAAGTGGTCCTTTTTAGTGTCTAGAATAAATGATGTAGACAATTTGCACCCATTCCCTGTTTTTCCCTGTTCTTGCTGCTTCAATCCGCCCTTTCCCACCCTCCATTTGCTGATTTTCATGGCGACATGTGACGTCACTCTGTTTTTGGAAAAGACCTTCAGTTCCTTCAGTCATGTACCTCGCCCGTTTTCTGCTCTGCATCATCTGAAGTCTCTCTTGGCCAACATTCCTCGGGAATGCTGAGAGTCCAGGCCTAGAAACCTACGGAAGAACACCTAAAACTGCCATTAGGTGAACATTCAAAATTGCCCTAGAACTGCCGTGAAGCTCAAGCATTGCCATCCCATTGGGCGAGCCTGCAGCCCCCATCGCGCAACTGTGAGAACAGCTCCTGTTTGGCCTCTTCCACCACAAGTGACACGTTGATATCTCGTGCGATGAGATCGCCTTTCCAACCACGCAGTTGACAATTGACCCATCTCCGCACTTTCCTGGCGGGAGGCGGAATCCATTCGGTAATTGTAATCACTTGTGGATCCTGGAAGAATGCTTGGTACGCTGACTCTTCTGCCTTGCCCCGCGAAGTTTGGTTTTGGCCTACAAACACCCGACCGTCGAGGGATGGGGTGACCAGTTCTGATCTGTACCATGTGCCTCGACCATCTGAAAAGTTCCTTGTCTGAACATAGTGGTCCCGATGCTGGTTCTGCTGAGTATACCGTTCGAAGAAATGAATCACGCGTGCCTTGAGGCCAAGATCATGAGGAAATCTCAGACCAATTTCACTCAGGAGACAATCTGGCATCGTTACAAGCTTTTCGCGCTCTGGTTTTGACAGGAAAACCATGCCTTTGTCTTGGCCAGAAAATTGCACACTTTGAACCTGACAAAGGAGGCTGGCCCCAAAGCATATCTATGCCTATTCTCGACCAGTGAATACGCTGAATGTATACGTTTGATTACGCTTGTACAAAACAAACCTTACCTGAACAAAGTGAACCTGGTGGTCTTGATGTGCCCCAAAAAAGTAGAGTTCAGCCCAAGTGTCTATGTCCTCTGTGTCTTGCACTGTCTCCGCCTCGCCATCGCTCTCCTCTTTCAGGGGTATGCCACAAGGATGAAGCCTTGCAAAAGCACCGGTGCAAACCTTGGATCTTTTGGCTGCAGAAACTTCGGTTTCATCCTTTCGCTTTGCCGAAGCATGCCCACGCGGTCCAAATTCCATGACGGAAGACTGCGGCAACTACGGGACAACACCTGGAATGAAATGGAAAACCTTGAGAATACATGTTCCACTGAATTTGAAGTGTCCAACCAAAATTAACTGTGATTCCCCTGGCCTCTTTTGTTCGATGCACAAATCGCTGAAAACCAAATGGACACGTGCAGTGAATGTATGAAAGCATCGACCATCCTATTCATTCTTTAAGTTATCCTGGGCTAAGGTTGCAAGATTCAGTCCGCAAAGATCCACCAAGGAGCTGAGAGATTGGATCCCAAATCAGCTGCGCACAGTGATTCAATAAGTTTAGGACTTTTTGAGCCTCGAATTTGATAGTTCAAGGGGACGATATCCATCATTCATCCAGAACTGACGCATACTGACGCCAAATGATTGTATATAAATAACATATGTATAATATGAGCATAAACCATGGGGATTCCATTGGTTTCATCTCACAATGAACCTTCACCAGCCTTCAAAATTGATCCATAAGCAGTGCTTTGCTGGGCAACCCTGGCGTCGAAAGGTGCCAGGCAGTGCACCTCAGCAATGTTGAGGTTGCGGTGTCAAAAACATTGTTTCATGATTTTTGGTTGGGGTTTCCCATGTTCATCTGGTTGGAAAACACTGTGAAATTCTGCCTTGAAACGTCTTATGATCAACGCTTGGAATTCAGCAGTATTAGGTTACAAATAAAGGCGGGCGCCATAGGGGATGGACATGTGCATATTTTAGACAACATGCGCATGTTTGCAGTCTAACCCCGGAAGAGGCAGGTATTTTAAATATGTTTCCATACATCCATCCATCCACCTGTCTATACGGAACAATACAGAGAAACACAAAAACAATAATTACATTCCGTTACATTCTGTTGCACTACAGACTGTACATGCATTACATACAAGTAGTGCCCGGGCGAGCCGGGGTCGGAAGTTTCAAAATTGAAACGCTTACGGCCTATAGCGCGGAACAAAGAATGTGCCTATAGATTGCGAGCTAGCTTTCTGTGCTTCGCAGCAACACGCTCATGACTTGCCATTCCGGTGCCATGTCTTTTGAATGTTGGATTTTTTCTTATGATTTCATCTGATCTCATCCAATCGCAGCTTCTCTTGGAATTTCCTCGTTGCATCCAATTGTCACCGCAGCCTGTGTCATCCCATCTCATGTCGTCTCATCTCATGTCGTGTTTTCTCAGCATTCTTCACCTCACTTCATCTCACCCCATGTCTTCTCTCCTTTTATACTCATACTCATCTTAGCTCAATCCCATCTGCAAGGCCGGCCAATGGGCCTCCTCTGCAAAAGGGTTTGCCAAGGCATTCGCCTAGGCCGGACCCCCCCATGTGGCATCAATAACATTCACACACCACACCACCATTGTTTTGTCTGTATCAACATGTGACATTGTCATACATTGTCCACATTTGTCCGCCAGCATATTGTACCAAGCACAAAGTGTATAAAAGATATATAATCTATAATATATACACATTATCCCATTATCCTGCGGCGATTCAGAACACTACCAATATCTGGCAGCAAGCTGGGCAGACATCTCAACCCCCCCGGTTGCCTCCACAGCCTCTAGCGGCACTGCCTTGCACGTGGATACTCACATGACACCCATCTGTAGGTGTTTTACAAACCACATGTCATGTTACAAGCCAGCAGCCTAGTAGGCGGATCCGTCATGCCGTCATGCCGTCATGCGGCTTTGGTTATGGGATAAGGGCCTGGGGAATAATGACTGGTGGAGGGTAGCATGACATATTGATCGGCAACTTCGTCAGTCAGAACATTTAATGACTTTGTCGACTTGATCTACTTGTCTGTACGGAAACTCAGCAAAAAGCACAACACAATACAAACGAATTCAAAAGAATTATAAGATTTGTAGGCATTGCAACACTTCCAACTCGAAGTTGCTTTCCTCTCAGCTGGCAAGTGTATAAAGGATATCCGCCGACCCCGGCCTGAGCAAGGGGGAGCGCGCCAGGGAAGAAACAGTTGTAGCAGGTTCGCCGTGATTCTGGGTCTAGTTCTCATAATTGGGGTTTCAGAAGCCATGTCCGGCAGTTTTGTTGGCGGCGAATCTGGGGTCCGTCCTTCACTGCCATAGTGTTTCAGTGTGGCGCAGGGCTGGTTTCTATTTCTATATTTCTAAGGGCTGGTTTTCATTTCTATATTTCTATTCTATATTTCTAGTGCTAAGCTGCTATACGGGTGTCAGACGTCACGTTAGGCAGTTTTTGGGTGCGATTTCGTGCCTCGTCCGTGTTTCATTGCCATGGTGTTTTGGTGTGGCGGAGGGCTGTTTTCAGCACCGGATTCAGTACAACGGGAAAAGGTTGGGAAAGCGTTATTTTTATAGGGTTTCAGAAGGGGCGTTACAAAGCTTTTTGGTGCGATTTCGTGGTTTGTCCGTCCTTCCCTGCCATGGTGTTTTGGTGTGGCGGAGGGCTGTTTTCAGCACCGGATTCAATACAACGGGTAAAGGTTGGGAAAACGTTATTTTTTATAGGGTTTCAGAAGGGGCATTTCAGAGTTTTTTGGTGCGATTTCGTGGTTTGTCCGTACTTCACTGCCATAGTGTTTTGGTTAGCGGCTTCTCCGTCCTTCACTGCCATGGTGTTTTGGTGTGGCGGAAGGCTGTTTTCAGCACCGGATTCAGTACAACGGGAAAAGGTTGGGAAAAGGCTACTTTTTGATTTCGTGGCTTGTCCGTCTATCACTGCAATGGTGTTTTGGTGTGGCGGAGGGCTGTTTTCAGTACTGGAGTCAGTACAACGGGAAAAGGTTGGGAAAAAGTAAAAAAGTATTTTTTATAGGGTTTCAGAAGGGACGTTAAAGAGTTTTTTGGTGCGATTTCGTGGCGTGTCCGTCCTTCACTGCCATGGTGTTTTGGTATGGCGGAGGGCTGTTTTCAGCACCGGAGTCAGTACAACGGGAAAAGGTTGGCAAAAGGCTATTTTTAATAGAGTTTCAGAAGCGACGTTAGAGAGTTTTTTGGTGCGATTTCGTGGCTTGTCCGTCCTCTTCACTGTCATGGTGTTTTGGTGTGGCGGAAGGCTGTTTTCAGCACCGGATTCAGCACAACGGGAAAAGGTTGGGAAAAGGCTACTTTTTGATTTCGTGGCTTGTCCGTCTATCACTGCCATGGTGTTTTGGTGTGGCGGAGGGCTGTTTTCAGCACCGGAGTCAGTACAACGGGAAAAGGTTGGCAAAAGGCTATTTTTAATAGGGTTTCAGAAGGGACGTTAAAAAGTTTTTTGGTGCGATTTCGTGGCGTGTCCGTCCTTCACTGCCATGGTGTTTTGGTGTGGCGGAGGGCTGTTTTCAGCACCGGATTCAGTACAACGGGAAAAGGTTGGGAAAGCGTTATTTTTATAGGGTTTCAGAAGGGGCGTTACAAAGCTTTTTGGTGCGATTTCGTGGTTTGTTCGTCCTCTTCACTGTCATGGTGTTTTGGTGTGGCGGAAGGCTGTTGTCAGCACCGGATTCAATACAACGGGTAAAGGTTGGGAAAGCGTTATTTTTTATAGGGTTTCAGAAGGGACGTTAGAGAGTTTTTTGGTGCGATTTCGTGGCTTGTCCGTGCTTCACTGCCATGGTGCCATGGTGTGCAACGGGAAAAGAGGTGTTAGGTGCGGTTCGTCCTTCAGGGTCCTGCTGTGTTAGCATGGCGAAGACGCTGCTTGTATCCGCTTGTGAAGTTCAGAAAGGAGCAGCAGCAGCAGAAGGTTTCAGAAGACAGGTAATTCGGTGGTGTTTCAGCGTTTCGAGTCTGTCCCTTGAAGCTTTAGGCACCTTGCTGCAGCTGTTGCCAATCAAGGCTTGGAAGGTGTCAGTTGAAGCATATGTCTGGCATATGTCTGGCACATATTTGGCCAATCTTTGGCTACTTTTTATAGTCAGTTGGTCAGTGGAGAAGCTAACTTTTTGCGGCTCGCAGCTTGGTAACATCAGGGCAGGTCGTGCAGGTCGTTCTTCGCATCTTCGTCTTCCAGAACTACAAGTCAACTAAAACACCCAAGTTAGAGGAGAATTCTTTATATACAACCATCGTACGCAAGAACAAGCAGCCTGGGAGAACCGCGCAAGTGCCATGCGCAGCGGCCAAGGCACAGAACAAAAATCACTTCAGCATGCGTGACAAATTCAACTCAGCTAATGGAACAACATTTTCTTCCTGCGCTAGTTTCACTTTGTTTGGTTTAATGTATTGCTCCATCCAACTCTCAAGACAAGTCGGAAACCCCATGAAACCCCTCTGCTTGCAGGTGATCGTCCATCGCTTCTCATGATGGCCTGGTGACAATTTGCAACAATCACGCAATAGGGCCTTCATCAGTCACACTAATTCTTCAGAAATATTCACCATTATTCACTTCTTCCAGATGATTTGAATGCTCTCTTTTCTTCAGCTGGCAGAAAACCAAGGCGCCACGCTTTTGTTTTGCAAACCTAAGCTACGTAACATGTCGGCCCTAAGCGCGCAGGGCGCAGCAACACATCGCTTTGCGATACCTTGCTAGCTGCTAGCAGTTGCCATCCCAAATGTCGGTACGGTAGCCCATGTCGTGGAAGCATTCAAGAACATCCGCGATGCGTCTTGCGACAATGTCACGCATTGCATCAGGGCTGACTCCATGGGCTTTGCACTCTCTCTTCTCTTCCGTGTACAGGACGGCCTTGCTGCGTATGTGGGCTTGTGTTGCTGGAAGCAGCGGGAACACCTTGCGCACCTCTTCATCTCGAAAAAACTGGGCAGCTGCCATTCGTTTTGCGTGCATCTCACTGAGACCGCGCCCCACATACACTTCGGCAGAGAGGCACGTGACCAAGGTCGCCTCGTAGGTCTGAGGCCAAGTTTCTAACCCTTTTGCCTGCATGGTTAGCGGCTGATCTCCCCGGCCAAGTGTATAGCGCAAAAAAAAATTCGACAAATTCTCAGTGGAAGGTTTGGAGTCATCAGGTTCCCATCCGGTCTTTCCTTCAGAGATCAAATCCATCGCAATTTGTCTGGGATCGAAACGGCGCAGAATTCCCCAGTGCTCCATATCTTCGATGGCAAGGTCCTGGACAGGACCCACGACAACATGAATAGTCAAGCTGGCCACCCAGTGGATGGAAACCACAACCACGTGCGGGCGGTAAATTCTTGCTGGGGACTGCAAACAAATTTTCCGGACGGCGCCCACAGCCTACAGATGGTCAGCGCATTCCTCATCATCAGCACCCTCGACATCCTCATCGTCATCCTCAGCCCCGCTGTCATCTTTACAGGCCTCCTCCTTCCCCCGAACACCATAATCATCACTATCGTCACCGCCTTCCTCATCATCATTGTTACACTCATCACCATCACCATCATCACTATCCTTCATCATGCTCCCACCATCATCCTTCCATCATCCTTCATTGCCGTCCATCACCATCATCTTCACCATCCTCATCCTTCATCATCGGCAGCGTCATCAGCAAATAAAAAGCAGTCGTAAGAATCATCATGTTCGATATCATCTGCAAGCACCCATGTTGATCCAGAAGCAAGCCATCGGGGCAAGAAGTGCAGCCTTATTTCCGGTCAACATCATGTTTCATGAGTGCTTGTGGAACAATTGTTTTTTGCGCGCTAGAAACCAATATCGCCGGCAAGAAAGAAGAGAGAGGACACGAGAAAATCATACAAAAGAAGATGCGGTAATGACTGGTGATACTGATGATGATGATCATCATCATGATGATGATGATGATCATGATGATGATGATGATGATGATGAACAGCAACAACAGCACAAAGTTTGATGGCAATGAGCATGATGATTGATGATGGTAATGGATGATGGTTAATGATGATGAATGATGATAAATGATGATGAATGATGAAAATGATGAATGATGATGAATGATCATGAATGATGATGAATGATCATGAATGATGATGAATGATCATGATTGATGATGAATGATCACGAATGACGAATGACGAATGAGGAATGATGAATGATGAATGATGATGATGATGGTGGTGGTGGTGATGATGATGATGATGATGTAGGTGATGTAGGTGATGTAGACGAAAGATCATGCATCCACAGCTTGATGCATTTTTTCCGCGCGAGACGATTTCTCCGGCATTGGCACTAAGCGACGGTCAGAGAAACAATGTCGCTGGAATATAGCTGGGTTAGATAGGTTGGCAAGCCGTTGACGGACAGATTGCTCTACGTCAGAAGCTCTTACACAGAGAATTTTTTGCACAGCAAAGCCGTTCTACAGAGAAACCTTTACACAGAGTAACTTTTACGCACGGACGCCTTTACACACAGGCGCTTTTACACAGAAAAGATTTGCACACGGGAGCTATTTCACAGAGCCCTCCTTAAATTCTAGTCGCAACCGTGTTGTCTTAGTAGCTTCTTTGATGACTTTCTATAACTCATGATAACATTTCCTAAGTACTTATGTTACGTCTGCTAGCATAGTTATGAACAGATCACATAAAGATAAGATACTTCCGATATGTTCGTTAAGAACTTATGTTTTACCTAAACTTTACAACTTCACGTAGTTGGCTAGCTGAAGTTATAACTTACTTCTCAAATGTTATGAAACTTTACATACTCGCAAGCAATTTATAGAAACGTTGTAGAGGGTTTATAAGCACGTTCTAACTCATACAAATTTGTAAACTCACATAACTTGAAGCGTACAGTCTTCGTATATAGAACAGGCAAAACAATAGAACACCCAATTTTGCGACAGCGCGCGGCACCCTCGAGCATCTTCATCATCATGCTCATCGCAATCCCCATGATCATCATGATCGTGATCATGATGAGAATCATCACCAACATGAACCTGATCATGATCATGATGATGATCGTCATCATTTTCATTCTGGTCATCCTTGTCATCCTCATCTTCATCTTCATCTTCATCTTCTTCATCATCATCGCCACCACCATCATATACATCACCATCATCAATCGCCACCACCACCGCCACCACCACCATCATCATCATCATCCTCATCAATTGTCATGAGCGTCATCATGATCATCATCATCCTCATCATCATCGTCATCATCATGATGATGTTCATCACCATCACCATCATCATCATCATCATCGTCACATCTTCATGTTTACCATCAGCATCTTGATCAGCATCATCATTGTTATGGTGACCGCGGTTATCATCGTCATGGTCATTGTGATGGATTAATCATCATCTTCTGTAATGTAAAAGCAAAGCTCGCACAAGGCGGGTAGCGGAAGTATCCAGTAGGCAGAAATGTTCCGGAGCTACGGAAAGAAAACTCTCGCCAATAGGAGCTGCAGTGATGGTCTGAATCTTCCCAACTCTTTTCTCAACTCTTTTCTCGGCTCTATTCTCACCTCTTCCCACCTCTTAGCACCTCTTCTCATCTCTTCTCACCTCTTCCCGCCTAATCTTACCTTTTCCCACCTCTTCTCAACTCTTCTTGGGCCTCTTCTCGCTTCTTCTCACCTCTTATCAAATCTTCTCCCTGGTTCAGCTCTTCTCGGCTCTTCAGCTCTTCTGAACCCTTCTCACGCGTTCTCAATTCTTCTTACGTCGCCTCATCTCTTCTCATCTCTTCTCCGCTTTTCTTAACTCTTCTCAGCCATGTTCAACCCGTCTCAGCTCTTCTCACCTCTGCCCGTTTCTTCCCTGCTACCCTCAAGTCTCTTGTCTAAGCTCTGCTCATACCTTCCCAGCTCTTCTCCCTTCCTCAACTCTTCTCAGCTCTCCAGCGCTTCTCAACCCCTCGCATCTCTTCTCGCTTCTTCCCCGCTTTTCTCATGTCTCTTCTCGAGCCTTTTCTCAATTCTTCTCTCCGCGCGCTACTCCATGCCATCTTTACGCTGCTCTGCCCTGAGGCCCTGTGCTAGGCTGCTCCATGCTACTCCAGTCCTCGGCCCACCCTACTCCTCTATGCCCTGCTCTACACTCCTCTTCTCCTTGCTCTGCTGTTTTACTTATCAAAGGACGTTTCGCAAAGAAAATGCACTCTTTACGGGCATTCGCATTAGCGTTAGCCCAGAAGTCTTAAGTCCATGCGGTCGGCTGGCTCGGGAGTGGAGGTGTCTTAAGTCAAGTTGGCTGGAATAGAGAAGTAACTCAGAAGTCTTAAGTCCAGGTTGAATGGTTCTGACGTAGAGCAATGAGTCGATTGTCAACGTATCGAGTGTGTCTGATGAACAAGTTGTGATTGGTCAAGATTTGTTTGAAATTGATTGACCAAATTTGCTCACAAATGGAGACGACAATCAGGCACAAGGCCGGGGATAGAGGACTGCCCATGGGGCTGCCTCTACATTGACGGATGCATCGATTGCCCAATGCAAAGGTTTGCATGCCCAAGGCCGCCGTGATGAGGAAGGGGACATGTTTGATTCTGATCTTTCTGGTGACGTTGAGCCGTCGGAACGTGCGGCCTTTGATGAGGTCTCCAGGGTTGTTGGATTTTCCAGGATAGACTGAGAAGACCTCATTGACCCCCACATTCATATGTGGGCGAAGGAAATCCAGCAGCATATGCCATGCTCCGATGAACCGCGCTTGATCAATGCTGGTGAAGAAGCCAGCAAGGTCTTGGTTGATGAGGATGAGGTTGCCGTCGATGGGAGCTGCTTGCAGGAATGTGAGTAGGGTGTAAACATCTATGGAAGCGAAGTGGCCTGGGCACGCCACTGGAATGAGTTGTAACATCAATCTGGCCAAGATATTGAGCATTGGTCGAAAGGGTGAGTCCACAAAATAAATGATGGGACGACGGCTTCGGAACGCTTTTTTGTTTTTGGCCAGGATGTAGCCGGCAGGGAGTTGGCAACCCTTGCCAATGGCCCAAGGGTATGATTTTCCATATTGGCGTTGGAGGGCTGAGACCAACAATGACACGATTTCGTGTGGTTCTTGTGGGATGGTTTCAAAAACTGATGCATCCATGAAGGTGGCTTCGATCGCTTGGAAGTAGAGACAAGGGCAGAAGATCCGCAGTGATGAAGCCTGTTTGTCTTCACAATGGAAGACAGCATCTGCAAGAGAGTTGGAAGTCGGCGATGGACATATTCGTGATGTGACAGGTAACTTGTTTGATGTGTTGTTGCCATGGAGAGTGCGCAAGGTCGGAAATGAGATTGGAAGACATGAAGGGAAGTCCGTTCCGTTTGGTCCATTGTTGAAGATCAAACCGGAGAGTGGAGTGGTAGTCCTTTTTGGATGGGCAGACTTCGTTCAGAAGCGAGCCTTCTGCGATAACAGTAAGGTCCTCAGGAAGAAGACCTGCGAGAAGCGACCCTGAGAGAACCCAGTGTGGGTCGGTAGGGTTGATGGCTGCTTTTTTGTAGTTGGACCAGAGTTTACAGCAGCACTGAGCACTGGAGTTCATGGACCATTGGGTGATTGCCTGTTTATGGTTGCAAAGGTGATCAAGCACCGAAGCATTCTTGACAAAGACCGTCTTAAAAGACGGTCTGTGGCATGGGACTTGATGAGCCAATACTTGAAGATGCCACTTTCGAAGGATTTGTTTGAAAGTTTTTTGGAGGTTTGGGCTTAAGGACGAAGGAGCTCTCAGTGCAGAAGCACGTGGGGCGGGCTTTCCCCGCCACCATCGAATGGAGGCATCGATGGCCTGGAGGGACAGTGTGCAATAGGGCTCCTGAATCTTGTTGGCCAGCCCACGTAGTGTATAGCCCAGGGTGAGACCACCCTAGCTGGATCGAAGCATTTTAGTTTGTTCGAAGCTGGCCTTAGTGTTTGATCCCAAAGTCCCGAAGCATGGATGATGGTCCAAAGTTCAAGACGATTCGATCCGAGGCCAAGATGTCTTTGACCACCTGTGGAGTGAATCTGTGTTTGGCCCGTCGCCAGAGTGTGGCAAGGCCAAACTGTGCATTGGTGTTCATGGCAGGTTTCTTGAGAATGCCTTTGCGAGGGTGGAAAAACTGGCAAATGTTGCCGCTCCTGAATAATAGCGAGTTCTAGGCAACGATAGTCAGTTCGTTCAGCAAAAAGAGGAATTGGAGCCCAGACGTAGAGGTTGTT